GAGAATACAGTGTTTGCAGCCTTCAGAGGCTTAAAAGAAAATACAGCTGCACTCAAAAGTCCCAGAGGGACTGCATCTCAGGATTTAACTTGCTGGAGAATTCAACGCCATAGGCATCTCGCACACCATTCACTGCCTGTGCTCTGAGCCCTAAGGACATGGGGTCAGCACAGTACTGGGCTTAACGCTTTTAGCCCCAGAACCCTAGAGAAAGTAGACTGCACCTTGTGGGAAACTCAGGTTATCACTAGTTAGGAGGTAAACATAGAAGGACATTTCTCTGTCCCCAGCATCCAGCAAAGCATAAAGTGTATAATAGACTCAGTAAATATTTGTTGGAGAAATTAATAAAGGAGTGAATAATGCCAGCTTCTGATGCTTTTGTTTTAAAACCACAGAACCATTCTCCCCAGGTGGAAGAAAGGTCGAAGAAGGAGGGGATATATATATTATATATATATAATTGATACATATATCAATTCTGCTGTACAATTTCATTCATTGTACAGCAGAAACTAGCATAACATTGTCAAGCAATTATAAGCACTCAGTTGCTCAGTCATGCCTGGCTCTTTGCGACCCTTTGGACTGTATCCCTCCAGGCTCCTCTGTCATTGGGACTTTGCAGGCAAGAATACTGGAGTAGGTTGCCATTTCCCTGTCTAGAGGATCTTTCCGACCCAGGGACAGAACCCTCATCTCCTGAGTCTCCTGCATTCCAGGCAAATTCTTTACCTGTTGAGCCATTGTGCAAGCCTGCTAAAGCAATTATACCCCCCAAAAAATTAATTCGTTAAATGACTAATTTAAAAATAAAATCACAAGACAATCACAACGCTCAACAGATGAGCATATTTGCAATGCTAGGTAAACCTCAGTTCAGTTCAGTCGCTCAGTTGTGTCTCACTCTTTGCGACCCCGTGGAAAGCCCCATGCCAAGCTTCCCTTGGATAAACTTGGAACCTGGTAATGTAAGTTGAAATGCACCCAGTCTAATGGACTTCCTCTTTGCTATACTACGTGGAGCTTTATGTAAAAAAAAATTTTGAGGTCTCATCTAGTTTCAGTAGGAAAGTATGTGTTGTCAGATTAGTGATGTCTTCCACAGGCATGACTGCAAATGTCTTTCCACTGTGGCCATAAAGTCGGGAATCACAAAATACTGTCTCTCTGGACAGACACAGAAGATGCTGGCTATGTTTAAACACCATCTTCTAACTGTCCCACCTTCCTTGTACCTGGAACTGAGTTTCTGAATGAGTTGGAGTTCAAAAATACAATTAGCCTTCGTGGGTCCTGGAACTGTTTCTGATACTAGATGCTAGACGGTCTTGGAGCAGGTGACTCACACAGACTCAGGCGCTCCCCGCCTGTCTGAACATGCAGAGCGAGGGCTGGCATCAGAACTCACCAAGAAAATAATAGGAAGTGTAACCTGGGAACTGTAACTGCAGTCAGGCAGGGAGGAATGAAAGGAAATGTGTGATCTCTCAAACCTCTTCATGCGAAACGCTCTGAGGTGAGCTGCCTGAGAATGCTTGTAAACTCCCTGGACACTTTCCCAAGGCGTTGCACTCCACTGAACTTCACCCCAGGGTGAGAGGGACAGAAAGCTCATTTTCAAACCTTCTAGATGGCACCTTACCGCATACTCCTCAGCCAATCCCACTGGTGGGAAGGATCAATTTAGAAAGGAGGCTGAGGAACTCGAAGAGTTCAGTGACCCACATTTTGGTGTGTGTGTGTGGGTATGCTGCCCTCAGCTTAATCTCCTGTCTATCCCACTAGTGTAATTAAGACTCTGATTAAATAACCAGATGGCAAGTTATTTGTGCGTTTCTTGGCCTCGGTAATAGAATGTATTCAGTCTCTCTTACAGGATCTCCCTTGCCATGGATGAGTTGATTCATAGAGAGCCTTGGGGGAAGAAAAAGATCCAAAAGATTTGCTAGAATCAGAAACATCTCATCCTAGGTTATCTTAGATGGCTTCCAGCCAGGGTCTTTGTAGTTGAGCATCTTCTCTGAAAATTGCAGTCTGGATTCAAATTCTGATAAGTCTGAATAATCACATCATCTCAGAGTTGGAAATCTTCCAGCATCTCACCGACTATCTTGATACTTATATGATGTTAAAGAAATTGATAAGACAGGCAATTTCCCTGCTTCATGAAGAAAGTTCCCTGGAGGGTTGACACTTAAGAAAAAAAAAAAAATAGCTTCTTAAGATGCACACTTCAGAGGTCCCAGAATTGTCCTCAAAGTATAAGGAATATATGCCATTAAATGACATAGTATCGGTCACAAAATGAGGGGGAGATGCCTTTAAAAAAGGTTTCAGCAGTTAAGTGGAGGAAATGTTTCCCCTTTAAGGGCAGATTTGTCAGTCCCACTAAAAGAAGAAACTACTAAAGCATGCTTCATTAAAAACAAAGAAGAAGGAAGAAAGAAAACATCTAGCTTTACACTCAGCCTAAATAAGGGAATTGAAAGCTAGTTTTCTCATCCAATTATCAAGCAAGGGGGACTATTGGAAAATAGAAGATTTAATTGCCATTTTCAGCCCTAGGAGTGAGCAATTTAGAGCAAATGACAAATGACTTTTTAAAGAGAAACCAATGTAAAAGAGATGGAGGAAATACTCCAGACCTGAGTTAGCCAATCTCTAAACAATAGGAGGGAAGTTTTCTGCAGAGTCAAGCATTCCAGAAAATACCATCATAAATCACACATCTTCCCCACTCGGGGATACGTCTAACGACAGTCCTGTCTTCAGCAGGAAAAGGTGCTGGTGTGGCGTGTGTACTCACGGCATCCAGGAAAGCCCGCAGCCCAGCAGGGGGTCGGCGCTGGGCTCCCCCCCAGGGCGCCCCACCATCACTGTGTCCGCCCTGGCACCCCCCACGATCCTGTCAGCGGCTGTGATCTGTCTTGTCCATGATTCAAAGGAGGCCGAGGAGGCCCTGGTGCTCACTAGCCTTGGTGAGACGCCGATGTGAGAACGGTTAAGCCTACCCTGGGTTTCGAGGCTTGTGTAAGTCTGTGATTCACTCCTCAGTGGGTCGGTCAAACACGCCTAAGAGAAATTACAGGTTCCTCTTGTCTGAAGCAAATCCATTAAAATGAGTCAGTTGTTTGTCCTTTCCTTCCTCCTCTTTATCGCGGATAATCACAAGAGACGGTTGCACCTACTGCACTGGGGTAATGAGAACTCAGGCAGGCGGGTGGTAAATGCAAGACTGTGCCACTGTTGTCCATGTTAAATTGTTAAAAGGCGGTCCCGTTTTTGCCTGCACTGACCTTAAACTTGGAACACACTGCCTAGGACATGATCCAATCCCTGCCTTAACACCAAAAATATCTTTGGTTTATTTTTTAACGACTGATCCAAGGAGTTCTTACTGAGCTTCTACCTTGGTGCACATCCATGGGGAATTGAGATGGTGAATTTCACCTGTGGGAAACTTCCCTTGGTCTGACTTGGGACAGGCTGGCCAGCTGGTGTCCTTGTCACCCCTAAATGGTCCCACACCTCCCGATTCTAGCCCCTCCCATTAACCTACCTTCCTGGCTCCTCCATATGACTGTTGCAAACTTCCATTTGACAATTACCAGGGGAGATGTAGACACGAAGAAGAAATAAGTGAGAGGAGTTTTATTATGTCTGTTGTACTCATGAGGCTCAATGAGGAGACCATGCCTGTGGAAATAGGTCATTCCATTTAGGTCATTAGTTAAGTACTGTGTCATTGGGAAATTTTGAAAAATCAGTATCATCAAACTTTTGGTTGTGTAATCACAGGACTTTATTAAACATATTCTATGTACAAAGCACCTTGTTCTGCTCTTTGGACATACAAAGCAAGTGACTTATCGAGTAACAAGGGTAAATCTGTCTCCAAAGGTTTATGGTCTTATTTGGGAAAGAAAATATATGCACACAAGAAGGCTAAAAGTAAATAATACTACACAATAAATACTGACTCAACAGTGAATGGGCCAGATATACATACTGCAGGAAATCAGTGGAGAGAATCAGCACTTCTGGTTGGACTGATCAGGGAAGGCTTTACAGGGAAGGCAAAAAGTGATGCACAGTTCAGACACAGAAAGCCCTGGATACGTGTATAGTCTCTGAAATATACTCTTCCCAGGGCAGGATACCAAGTATCACAATTCTGTAAACACTGAGTGAAAAGATTCTTCAGTAGATTTTGCTGGCTAGTCACCCTGATGAAAGAAACTGAATCTAATGCTCAACACTTTCATCTAGATGTCAGTGAACCAAGACTTCCCTGGTGGTTTACATTTCTGAAGCAGGGGGCACAGGTTCGACCCCTGATCGGAGAACTGAGATCCCACATGCTTCGCGGCCAAAAAATTTTCTTTAAAAAGAGAAGAAATTAGACGTCAATGAACCAACTCCTATGAGAGTGTCTCATCCACACTCATGCACATACATGAATTCATAGGTACTCTATTACAAACAGCTTACATTTTAATGCCAATTATTATTTGCCAAGTCCTATTCTCAGTATTTTATCTACATTTGCTCATTTAATCTTTCCAATAGCCCTATAGGGTAAGCGCCATTATTCTCAATTTCTGGTTGGGAAAATCAAAGTCCCAGGAATTTAAATAACTGTCCCAAGGATTATCAAGTACTAAGTGCTCTGCCCAAGAATCTGCCTTAGACACTGCTAGCAGCAGTTTTTCCTTGAGCCACCTGGCCAAGTCACTTCCTTGGTGAGATGTGAACGGGGCGTTCCACGTATCTCCACCCTGGGTCTTCCACAGTCAGCCTGATCCATGCCGTTCTTTGTCACCTTTCAGGATGGGACAGACTGAAGTGTGGGCCACAAGAGGGAGGGTGGACTTCTCCAAGGGATCGTCAAATGATTGTGGGGTTTCTCTGTTAGCATCCATGAGCTTTTATTCAATTATTTTTTATCTTTAGGTCACACCACACAGCAGGAGGAATCTTAGTTTCCCTACCAGGGGTCTGACCTTCACCCCTGCACTGGCAGCGCTGAGTCTTAGCCACTGGGCCACCAGGGAAGTCCTTCATGAGGCTTTCTTAATGAATAATAACCCCAACATAGGGTCTTTCGCACCTCCTCCCTTAGGGAGTGAGTGCATCGGAGCAGAGGGTGCTTTCACATGAGATGTGGTTGCCAAATGCACAATACAGATGAAAGGCCAGTCTCTCACTCTCTCTGTCTCTCAACCTCTCTCTCTCATGCTCAGACTTTCCATCTGTAAATTGAGGCTGTTGGACTCAGTCTTTTCTAAAGTTTTTTTTTCAGAATTATAAATCCTAAAACTATCTAGCTCCATGACATTGCGTCCTTCCTTCAACATGTTGATTTGGGGTAAGTGACCTTTCTTCATATGGAAATCTCCGCATCGGGAAAACCAGGACTGTGTCTGCTCCATGCTCTTCCCTTGAAGAGACCCTACAGAGGCACTGGGAAATGTCAAATTAAAACTTCTTTCTGACCTCGTCTGCAAAGGGTGCAATTGTTGTCCCAAGATGAACAATACCACTTAGAAGATGACTCATTCTCCCAGTTGGTATATTTTTCTACCTTCTGATTATTATATTTTTGCTTTCTTAAACATTCCTACTTAGAGGAAATTTTCTATAGTAAAAAAAGAGAGAGAGAGAGAATAAAAAAGTTTTACTACAGTTTTCTGTGGTAAAAGAAAAACATGACACCCCTCATTCACACAGTGAGTCACCCTTTTCCATTTGTAATGTCACTTCATTAATACTGGCTTCTTTTGTATATAACTTTAAAAAATTATTTATTTATTTGGCTGGGCAGGGTCTCAGTTGCAGGATGCGGGCTCTTAGTTGCAGCATGTGGGATCTAGTTCCCTGACCATGGATCAAACCTCAGCCTGCCTGCATCAGGAGCTTGGAGTCTTAACCACTGGGCCACCAGGAAAGTCCCAATACTGACTTCTTGGGGAGATAACTAAGGGCTACTCATTGCCCCTGTCCTTTATTCACTAATTTTTTTTTCCTGCTGCATCTGACTGTGTGCTTGCTTTAAAAAGGATCTTTTTTTTTTTCCTAGAAGGACTTTTATCTGTAATACTGTTCTATCAGGTGGCTCCTGATTTGAACATCGAATTTGTTTACATACAAGGTAAGAAAATCAGTAGCTCTCTACTTGAAATATAATATTTCTCCTTCCTCATCCCGGGTTTCAAAACACCATATTGTTCGGTGGGGGTTCATCTTACATGGGCTTCCCAGGTGGCGCTAGCGGTGAAGAACCCACCTGCCGACGCAGGAGACATAGGAGACATGGGTTAGATTCCTGGGTCTTGCAGATCCCCTGGAGGGGGGCATGGCAACCTACTCCAGTATTCTTGCCTGGAGAAGCCCATGGACAGAGGAGCCTGGCAGGCTACAGTCCATAGGGTGATAAAGTCAGACACCACTGAAGCAACTTAGCACGCAAGCACCTCTTACATAGTCAGAGTAGACAGAGAGACCCTCGGTGGCTCCTTGGTCTTGAGGAGAAAGTCCAGGGCTAGGAATCAACAGTGTTGGGCTTTTACCTCTGGCTTAAACCTCTACTAGCTGTTACTTATCACTGCAACCTTCAGTCTCCTTAACTTAAACACCTTTCTGGTTCCAAAGCTCTATGGTTTTGCTTGGTTCACGGCCAAAGAAGTTGTATCTAAGCCCACGCTAGGCTGACCATGCAATCAATTTAAAGGTGGAGGGGTGGAACATACTGGCCCTTGAATTCCTTGTGTCCAAAGAACAATGACCTACTTAGAGTCGGCCCAACTTTGGTGACTATGCATGAGGGCCCTCCCTCAGCCACCCATAGAATCCAGCTGGGTGACATCCCTGGCCACCACTGCCAAGATGAGCCAGAGCTCTCGTCCTGATTCCAAGAGCATGAGGCTGGAGACCCCGGCAAGACCAGGATTCTGCTGTCCGCTGTTGGATACCCAGCATGGCATATATATGTAGACGGTGGACGGGGAAAACGTCAGCAACACAGAACAGCTTAGACAGAGGGGCCTTCCATCCTCTCTTCATACCCTCCTCCATCAGCACCACCAAGAGGGAGGCTTCCTTCATATTCTTCGGAGGCAAGAAGACTCGAGACACAAACTCGAGACACGAATCAGGACATTTCTCCTGGGGTCTCTGCCACTCCTGAAATGTATGACCTGGTCAAGAACAGACAATCACAGCTTTAACATGCAAGCAGCAACATCTAAAAGCATCATGACGACTGCATCATGGATTGACTCTTTCTTGAACAAGAAGCCCTTTTGGGTAAAGCCCCCTTGGCAAATGAAGACTCGCTTCCTTTTAAGTCCCTTGGGAATCCAGGAATCAGCTTTGTTCTCTTGCCTGCAAAAGCTGTTACAGAACTTGTCTGTCTCCAAGTTGGACCGTGCCCTTTCCTCTTGCGAAAGACCTCTTTTTTGACCAAGGCCCTGGGTTGCTGCAGAAGGTCTCAGCCACACTGGCTACTAGATCCCTGATGTCCTGGGATCAGGGAGGCAGGCTCTTTCTATATTTCTTTCTCAGGCAATCTACATGTGTCTGTGTGAGTCTCTGTGTGTGTTGCTGTCTGTGTTTCTTTCTGGATTTCTCTACGTCTCTCTCTGCATCCCTCAGACTCTCTCTGCACCTCTTTGTCTCAGCGTGAAAGTAGGGGTCCTGCTGTAGATGTCTCCATCTCTCTGCCTGGTCTTCGGTCTCTAGATCTAGAGGGACACGGAGACAGAGGATTGGAAGTCCTGGCTTCACATGTCTGTTTGCTCTTCCAGCTCTGAGCTGCCGCCCCATGTCACTGAGGGTCCCTGTCTGTCTGTCTGTCTCCCCCGTGCCTCCCTTGCCTTTGTTTCTGCCTGTCTCTGACCCTCCTGCAAATGGAAACTAACTTCTGCATTATCTCCGAGGGCCTCCCACAGACAGTGTGTATCATAATGCCTTGCTCTTTTAACACTGGGGAAGAGAGGGTGACAGTAGGAAATGTGGGGATGTTGTTGATATCATGGAGGATATCCTGGGGATGGGAAATAAAAAGCGGGGGAAAGGGAGCAGCTGGGACCACGGGTCCCTCTGCTCACTCCCCTCTCAGATACTCCTGCTGATTTAGAAGGCACCCCTCACCCCCCGCCCCCTGCCCGACAAGCCTGACTGTTTTACAGGGTCAATAACAATTTCAGATGTCCAAGAATTAGAAGTGTGAATATATCTCCAGCCAGAGCTAGGTGGGAGTAGATTGCCTGAGAAGAATCATTTCAATCAAGAAAACATCATTTCTGATTAGAATGAATCAAAATTGAGATTATTTTTTCAAGAAATGTCACATACAGGCCATGTATATGGGGTCCCCTTTGCTGGGTACTCACCTCCCAAGTTAGGAGTATAGCCTGGCTTACTAGCTTGGCCCTTTGGTGGGGTGACGAGAGAAATCAGAAGAAACATTCTGAGGAAGACACGGGATAGTGGACTTGTCACCAGCAGTCTTTTCGATTATTTAGTCATTAATATGATCACAGTTATTCAAAGCACATGGAGAATTATTTCATTAAGCCCAGTATTGTGCTTACTAAAACATGTTAGACAAAGACAAACCCTGTATGTTATCACTTATATGTGGAATCTAAAAAAAAATAAAACAAACCAGTGAACAGAAAAAGAAGCCGACTCACAGATATAGAGAGCAAACTAGTAGTTACCAGTGGGGAGAGGGGTAGACTAGGAGTAGAGGACTAAGAGATACAAACTACTATGTATAAAATAAATAAGCTGCAAAGATATACTGTACAGCATGGGGAATAGAGCCAATATTTGGTAATCACTTTAAATGGAGTATAATCTATAAAAACATTAAATCACTATGCTATACACCTGAAACTAACATGATATTGTAAATCAATTCCATCTCAATTTTTTTAAAAAAGCGCATGTAGAATTGTGACCTACAGCAGTTTATTTCTTGCCTTCACCTCCTCCCTCTCCTTTTTTATTTTAGAACCACTGACAACATGCGAATAGGCTGGTGTGAGAGACTCTCCTCCTCCCTGGCTTGGATCCTCCTCCTGAAGCCTCTAGTTTGAGACGGAGGTGGGGAGAAAGCAGCTGACTGGCGTGGAGAGAGTGAAACAGGAAAGCGACCCCGAGTCTTCAAACGACTCCACTTTTTCAATTAACTTTTATTGGAGTATAGTTGCTTGGCAATATGTTAGTTTCTACTGTACAGGACAGTGAATCAACTGCACAGACATGTATATCCCCTCTTTTCTTTATTTTCTCCCCATTTCGGTCACCACAGAACAGAGTAGAGAGTCCCCTGAGCTATACCTAGAGGCTGTCAAACAGATTGAAGTAAGTCAGAAAGAGAAAAACACATGTCAGTATTAACACATGTATGTGGAATCTAAAATATTGTACAGATGATCTTATTTTCAAAAGCTCCTTCTCAGCTACTGAAATTCTCAACAGTACCATCAACTCCTTGTGCTAAATTATCCTTGTGCTTCAGATACATGTTGTGGATTGGAAATATCATCTTGTTGGTGGAATTATCACCATGTGAATATGGCACCCACTCCAGTACTCTTGCCTGGAAAATCCCATGGACGGAGGATCCTGGTAGGCTGCAGTCCATAGGGTCGCCAAGAGTCGGACATGACTGAGCGACTTCACTTTCACTTTTCACTTTTATGCATTGGAGAAGGAAATGGCAACCCACTCCAGTGTTCTTGCCTGGAGAATCCCAGGGATGGGGTCGCACAGAGTCGGACATGACTGAAGTGACTTAGCAGCAGCAGCAGAACATAGATTAATTCATCACATAGGATATAAAATGAACACAAACAAGTATGCTTATTATTAGTAGTATTAGTATTAGCCCAAGGAGAAAGACTTAAATCTGGACTGTAGGATATGGTGACCTAGAAGTCAGAGACCTACAGATAGGAGAGGAGGAGACAGGTAATAGCCTACTTCCTCTGATTAGGGCTAAAATACCAACTTACAAAGGCTACAGCTGGTGACAGAGTGAAGGAAGGACATAAAAAGGTAAAAACAAATTTGCCTAGGACCCAAAAAAGTGATTCTCTTTTTTTCACACTTATTTTTATTTTATTTAGCTGTGCCAGGTCTTAGATACAGCATGTGGGATCTAGTTCCCTAACCAGGGATCAAACACAGGCCCCCTTCATTGGGGGAATGTGGAGTCTTAGCCACTGGGCCACCAGGGAAGTCCAACAGACCAATGATTCTTAACCCTAACAGTACATTAGAACCCCTGGGGAGCTTAAAAAATATAATAACTCGGCTCTACTCTAAGACTTCCTAGTTTAATTTCTTGAGTGGAACCTGGACAGTGGTATCATTTACAAGCTCTCTAGGTGTTTATGAGGTGCAGCCAGCCTAGAAAACCACTGATTCAGACAATCGACAAACTAATAATGAAATTCTGGGTATTATTCTGACTTACCTAGCATATAAAGACACAAAGAGAAGGATGGGGGGAAATCATTTTCTATAACACCACCAAACAGCAGAGCTTCCCTGTGGTAGCTGAATGGATAAATACCAGACACATGTAAAGGAGTGAAACTAGGCTGAAAAAGATTGGAAGAGTCAGACCCCTCTCCTGAGAGCATCCTGGCAGACCCAGGGAAGAGGTGGGAATACATCAGATAGGGTAGCTGGAGGCAAACATTTACATTGCTGAGATACCTCAGGAAGACTTAGATGAGTGAGTCTCAACCCTGACTACGCTAGAACCACCTAGAGAGCTTAAGTATCTCCCCAAACCCAAGTCACAGTGCAGACCAATGCAATTGAAACCTCAGGGGACGGCAGGGGTGGAGCAACATTTTTTTGCAAGGTCCCCAGTTGTTTCTGATATCCAGTCAACATTGAGAATCACTGCTTTAGATAATCAGTAGTGTTTCCTCTCAGTAAAAGTTGGCATTTTTTTTTTTCAGCTGGAAAGCATGTAAAGGTATCAGCCATCTCCCAGGTATGCAGACCATGGACTGGGAAGGAGACCAAAGCTTCGGTAACAGTAAGGCAAAAAGGTATTTGCAACAACATGAATGGACCTGGAGATTAGCATAGTACATGAAGTAAGTTAGGCAGAGAAAGACAAATTTCATATGATATCACTTATTTGCAGAATCTCAAAAAAAATGATACAAATGAACATATTTACAAAACAGAAACAGACTCCCAGACATAGAACACAACTATGGTTACCACTGGGGAAAGGTGGGAGGGAGGGATAAATTGGAAGCCTGAAATTGACAGATACACACTGCTATATATAAAATAGATAACAACAAGGACATACTGTATAGCACAGGGAACTCTGCTCAATAGTGTGTAAGAACCTAAATGGGAAAACAATTTGAAAAAAGAATAGATACATCTAAGTCGATAACTAACTTTGCTGTCCACCTGAAATGAACACAAAATTGCTAATCAACTATGTTGTTGTTTCATCTCTAAGTCACATCTGACTCCTTTTGGAACCCCGTGGACCTTAACCCACAGGCTCCTCTGTCCACGGGATTTCTAAGGCAAGAATACTGGAAAGGGTTGCCACGCCCTCCTCCAAGGGATCTTCCTCACCCAGCGATCGAACCTACATTTTCTGCTTGGCACGCAGATTCTTTACCACTAAGCCACCTGGGAAGCCTATTCCAATATAAAATTTAAAAATGTTTTTAAAAAGTAAGACAAAAGTATAGGAAAATAAAGAGGAAAGGAGGGGAAGAGAAGATGAAAGCTAAAGAAATCAAAGGACAGGAATCAGAAAGGCAAGGAATCTAGGGAGGGGGCAGTGCTCTTACCCGGGGCCACTGACCCAGTCCCCCTTCATGCAGAACTCCTGCAACGTTAATCCACACAGAACCACAGGGATTCCTTCAGATGCTGGCAAGGGAAACCCTAGATCACCTCTCCTCTTATTACTGGGTTTGTTCTCTAGGTCAACCCTGAATCTGTTTTGTTGCCATTTAAATTTTTTCCAGTTTTTCCCTCACTCGGAACAGCTGAAGGGTCACACCTTTGCATAATGATACATGGTTTCGAACTGTATAGGAATTTAAGATAAATGATAGGGTTTGTACACTGTGCAATGACCGAACCATCTCTACGATATCCTAACCAGGTCCCTTACCATCTACAACTTCAGTAACCATGGAAACAAGCCCTCTTGAACATCAAGCTATTGATATTAGGGAAATCTTTGTGTAGGGTTAGAATTTGTTCCTCTGGAATTGTCACACCTTGAATATGGGTCAACTGATTAGAGTCACAATGAACAAGTGAGCTGTCATGGGGACCCAAGACTTTCCATCTGCTCCCATTTCTGTTTCATCACCTGCTCTCCTGCTCCATAGTTTGAGGGTCACCCCCTCCAGGCCCTGCTGCCTTGTCACTCTCCTCTAAATGCATTTAAGTCTAATTTCTCTCTATGGATGTGGTCCCAGTGCTCCACCTAGATTCTGAACAGCTCAAAGAGGCACTCACAAAGCTCTTCTGAAAAATCCATACCGCAAAAGTGTTAGGTGATGGTTTGAGCAACACTCCAGGTGCCAGAAACTCCGATGGGGCTGTTACCTCGTCAAACTTTTAAATGCAAAAATGAACATGAAGGCTTTACCTCTGATATCCTGGAGATCCATTTTGCAGAGTTTATTCGATCCTTTAAGGCATCTCTTATCTGGGGGGTTAACAAAAGAAATTAAGGATTAGAAGATTATGAAGAACTAACGCATATGCTTGAGATAGGCAAACCCTATGGTGAGAGTGTGTCTCCAGCAAGTGTTGTTGGCGGGATCAACAGTAATAATGCTGTTGTTGATACTTTGACTACAAATACTAGTTGTGGTATTCGATTCATTTAAAAAGTAATCATATGGTCTATAACTACAGAAAACCTTAAATGCTTTTTATGCAGTTTCACTTGCAAAATTGCATTTGTTCTTTATCCTAATCTAGCAGAGAAGGCAGGGCATCCCAAGTGGCTCAGTAGGTAAAGAATGCCTCTGCAATGCAACTGCAATGAGAAGATGTGGGTTCAATCCCTGGGTCAGGAAGAGCCCCTGGAGGAGGGCAGAGCAACTCACTCCAGTATTCTTGCCTGGATAATTCCAAGGACAGAGGAGTCTGGTGGGCTACAGTCCGTAAGATCACAGAGTCAGACACGACGGAAGTGACTGAGCAGCACGGAAGACAGGGAAAGCATTATTATGTCTGTGACCCATTGAAGAATCTAAGGCTCATGAGTTAAGGACTCTCTATCAGCACACAGCTATTCCACAGAAATATCAGGATGAAAGGGCTAATTTCTTAACCCTTACCTCTTTTACTTTTAAGTTGATATTGTATCCTCATGGGAAAACAAAAGAACCTCTGTGAAATATGTCTTTTACAAACCTTGCATATTAACTTAGTAGTAAAACAGCATTGATAGTACAATAAGTAGATACATAAAATTTTAAAAATAAAAAATAAGCCCTGCAGTGTGAGTGTTTGCATCTACGATTTAGGATTGAGATTTGCTTTTCTCAATCCAAGAGGCAATGTAATAAAATAGAAAGAGGGTGATCTTGAAAGCCTGAATAAACATCTGACGTTTTGTTCCTTTTTCACTTATTTTCATCACACCACCCACACACACCCATCTGTATTTGGAGAATTTCCTTCCTTAAGTCCACTGCTCTTTAAGGTAGAAGCCAGCAACTCACTTTCTCAGCCTCTCTTGCAGCTAAGATGTAGCCACACAGCACACAGCTATTCCACAGAAATATCAGGATGAAAGGGCTAATTTCTTAACCCTTACCTCTTTTACTTTTAAGTTGATATTGTATCCTCATGGGAAAACAAAAGAACCTCTGTGAAATATGTCTTTTACAAACCTTGCATATTAACTTAGTAGTAAAACAGCACTGATAGTACAATAAATAGATACATAAAATTTAAAAAATAAAAAATAAGCCCTGCAGTGTGAGTGTTTGCATCTACGATTTAGGAGGTTTGCTTTTCTCAATCCAAGAGGCAATGTAATAAAATAGAAAGAGGGTGATCTTAAAAGCCTGAATAAACATCTGACGTTTTGTTCCTTTTTTTCACTTATTTTCATCACACCACCTACACACACCCATCTGTATTTGGAGAATTTCCTTCCTTAAGTCCACTGCTCTTTAAGGTAGAAGCCAGCAACTCACTTTCTCAGCCTCTCTTGCAGCTAAGATGTAGCCACGTGACCTGGGCTCAGCCAATCAGACATGGTAATGTAAGATGCGGGTATCAGTGGTCCTCCCTAGGCAGTGTGGAGAGGCTGCAGTAGCAGGAACTCTAGCTTAGCACACACCGTCTGATGTTGCCCCGCTGAGCTGTGCTCTCTGTGCCCAGAAAAGTGGGAAGGGGCAGGGGAGCCTCATGTGGAGTCATCTGTGCTGTGAATCAGGAACTACTCTTTATGCATAGCCTCCATGCCGCCCAGCCACACAGAGACCTTCCCAAAGATGTTATTGTGAGATGTGATAACTTTTTCTGCTTCAGCTAGCTAGAGTGGGTTTCTGAGAAATTGTGAGCAAGCTACTTCATCACTTTGAGTTTCAATTTCCTCATCTGTAGAACTAAAAATCAGAATAACCAGGATTGCTTTCAGGGTGAGAGCTAATGAATATAAGAGCTTAGCCCCGTAAGAGCTTGAAAGCTGGCAGTATTACTTGCATCATTGAGACCTCGATGTCCTGCTCAAGTGTCTGCACAAATGATTGAGGTGAAAGACTCCCAATAAGTGGTCTTTACAAGTGAGCATTTCAGGGCCAAATATTGACAATGCAGAAAACAGCAGGAGAACTTATTGTACCTTCGGATCCAGGATTGTTCCAAACACCAGGATGAAGAAGCCCTGAGAAAGATGGAAGAGGGACGAAGAGCCATTAAACAAAATAAAATGATAATAATAAATACCAGTACTTATTATCAGTTCCTATTCTGGTAGAAGGTAAAAGTAATTTTACTAAATCCTTAAATAGAAAAACAAAGATCATTTTATTAAATCTTTGACTCTCTCATTTTAAAGTCGCAACACCTAGATTGATCCATTCAACAAATACGGATACAGAATTTTTCATGCACCAGCCACTGCTCTAGAAACTTAGAATACTACAGTAAACTAAGCAGACTGAGGTCCCTGATGCATGCAAGAATACTATAGGAAGTTTTTATTTGGGCAAAATAAAGTGTTTTGTGTTTATCAGGAGTCGTGCATTGCATCAGAGTATAATGGCCCAAGAAAGTCCGAGGAGACAGGCTATGCACAGCCACCTCAGAGTTCTTAAACAATCAGTAATTAAAGAAACTTCCATAGAAAATAACAAAAGCAGCTGTGTTCAGCTTTTATGAACACCCCCAATCACCTTCCCCCATCCACAACTAAAAACTGTTATAAAACTTGTGAAGAAAAATTAAGTCCACAGATACTCATAAAAATTCTAGAGTTTCTAAGTAGACTAACAGGTGCTCAGAAATGGGTGCTCCAGATATTATACTATAGAGAGAATTTATTAGTTCTCATATCTCCTATCTCATATCAATAATTTGGCCATCTGATGTGAGGAACCAATTCATTGGAAAAGACCCCAAGGCTTGGAAAGATTGAGGGTAGGAGCAGATGGGAGGGACAGAGGATGAGATGGTTGGATGGCATCACCAACTCAATGAATATGAGTTTGAGAAAACTCCGGGAGATGGTGGAGGACAGGGGAGCCTGTCGCGCTCTAGTCCAAGGGGTTGCGAAGAGTCAGACACTGAACAGTGACAACACATCTCATGATTCATGCAAAGACAGACCCCATGAAAGTCACACAGTGGCTGTTCTCCTATCATTATAGTCCATTTGAGTTTTCAACTTTTTTTTTTCATGGAATTGGCACAAAAGCACCCTGGGAGAAGGAAGGAAATATATTTGTCCCATTTTTCACCTAAGGAAGCTCAGAGATTTAACTTTCAGAATGTGAGAGGCAACAATAAAACACATTAGACAAAATTCCTCTTGGAGATGAGGTTACTCAGGTCTTGACTCACCAGACAAGAGATGCAAGATAATGACCTTTGATTTAGGCATCCTTGTTAAGCTGCTTCTATTTCATAATCAAATGTGATCCTTACCCTGGCCGAGGCCTGCTAACGTACCTAGTTTAAGACAAACGGCACCATAAAGATGTTACAACCAGGTGACCATCAGCAGCAACAATATAAAACCGCCTGCGATCTTGATTTGTAAAAACCCGGCTGAAGGGTGGAGGACTTCACAGACCAGTACACGGCAATACAGCTCAGCTATTCCTCCAAACACACTAAAATATGCCTCCCTGTTCACCCAGTCCATCGAGCGCTCCCAAGCATGGAGTGATTCTATCACATTACTGTTTTTAATGTTTCTCTTAGTCTACAGGAAAACCATTGAAATCTGTCATTATGTCTACTAAGAAAATGTCATTGATTTCGTGAACCATTCAGTTATAAAGTGTCACTTGTATAAAGATGCTTGGGCCAAATACATCCCAGTCTGGTTTGGGTACTAGGAATACATTTTAAACCAAAATCTTCACAAATTTTATGCAGGAATTGAAGTTTAAAAGATCTAGGAACCACAATTCTAGCCTGTTTCCTGAAGGCTAAAGGACTAAGCTCTCTCTTTGAAAGATCTTTAATTTCTTGAGTTTGGATTAATTATATTCATATCTGAACATTTACCATAATGCTCAGCACAAAAGAAATAATAAATGTTGTGTCTCAGTGTATTTCTGTATGTGCACATGTGCATTTAATTGCTTTATTATACAACCTGCATCTATAGCAATAAATACGTAACAAGAAAACATTCCACAAGGATCACTTTTCATTGGTCCATGCCACCTTGGGAAAAGTTACAAAAAATACCCTTCAAAAAATTCGGATAAGATTTTAGTCACAGTTTTATATCTGAGTAAGAAGAATTCACTGGTAGCAGCTTCTTTGAATTTCTTTTAGTAGATAAAGCACAATTTGAGCAGGTAAATCTCAAGATGTTCTCCCAGGTTTTAAAATATGTGCTTTAACTGCTATAGACTGAATATTTGTGTCCTCCAAAAATTCATATGTTAAATCCTAGTGCTAAACGTGGAGATATTTGGAGGTGGGACCTTTGACAGGATTAGTCATGAGGACAGAATCTCATGAAAGGGATTTAGGGTCCAGATAAATGAGGCCCCAGGGAGCTCCTGGCCCCTTTCACCAGGCAGGGTTATGGCAAGAACAAAACTGTCCATCTGTAAACCAGGAAGTGGGCTCTCACCAGACAATCTATCTGTGTGTGCCTCGATCTTGGACTTTCCAGCCTCCAGAACTATAAGAAATAAATATCTGTTGTTTATAAGCCACCCAGTCTATGGTATTTTTTGTCATAGCAGTCCAAATGGACTGAAACATTGACTTTTCTCCCACCAAAACAGCTAGAGGGAGTCCTCAAACCTCACCCAGCCAGTTATTCTCAGTAAATATGAGGGAAGACACGGGTCAGAAGTTATGGATTGACAAATGAACAGTCAATGTAGCTCTTGACTACATAATAACACTTCCCTACCTAAAGGGTGGGGCTTCCCAGTGGCTCAAAGGTAAAGAATTCGCTTCCAATACAGGAGCCACAGGAGTTGCGGGCTCAGTCCCTGGGTTGGGAAGATCCCCTGAGGGAGAAAATGGCAACCCACTCCAGTATTCTTGCCTCAAGAATCCCACAGACAGAGGAGCCTGGTGGGCCACAGTGAGTGGGCTCAAGAAGAGTTGGACTTAGCACACACGCAACTTGAGCTTTAAAACCCGTGGTGATGCTCCCACAGAGATAGAACCATGAAATCTTTAAGAAAGTCTTTCTCCTACATCCTGTTGACCTCCTGTATATTTAGGAGTCTCTCTTCTCCGTCTGCCCCGTCAGCCTCAGCTGCCCCACGTCTCCTTAGTCCCCACATGTCCTGCTTCTTCTTGCTCAATTGATTCCATCTCCTCCATCAGTGAGGGTTGCTGACTGTCCTTTCTCTCCTCTGGCACTGGGCATCCTCAGGATACCCTGATCCACAGACTTGCTGGTAAACAGTGATAACCAACTCGCCTACTTTGTAGCACTTGCCATTCTCCATGGTTAAATACTTCCACCATGGCTGATTTAAATCTAGCAACACTACCATGTGTAAAACAGATAACTGGTGCAATAGATAGCTGCTGTATCAGCTCGGCTCACTGCTCTGTGATGATGGGTGAGGGGTGCCGAGGGAAGGTGGGAGGCAGGCCCAAGAGGGAGGGATATGTGTATACATACAACTGATTCACTTCCTTGTACAGCAGAAACTAACACAATATTGTAAAGCAATTATACTTCAATAAACAAAGATAAAAATTGAAAATAGTATCAATCAATCAATCAATCAATCCAGCAACATGGCATCAATGAACATGGAGTCTGGAAGAGATGGACACATCATTACACAATGTTCCCACCACCCAGATATAATGGTTGCCAATAACCTCAAAAGTACAGTGAAATGTAGATGCAATTACGAAGTGATGCATTTTGAGGATGTATGACCTTTGTTTTCAATCTAACTTATTTAGTTTGTAAGGATGTCTATGTTTACAATCAGCTCCCAAAATTCCTGAAAGGTAGCAGTCAGCTCTCTTGAGCCAGTACAAGCCAGTTCCAGCCCAGCACTGCCTCATGCCTGCCCCAGTGTCTGACCTTCACCCAGACTATACTCTCAGCTCCTCACTGTCCCAAGGGTCCTGGCATTTAGACGGATGGCCCCACCCTCCTCCTTGTCAGGAGTCAAGGCAGAAACAGCTGAAATTACAGGTTGACCCTGTAATAACAGGTAAAGGAGTTCATGGTATCAAAATAAATGCTCACAGCCTGGTTTAAAACAAAAGTCACAGCAAAGTGGCCCCAAGGGAGACAAGGGAAAAAAAGCCTTAAAAGTGAAACATGAATTCATTAAGCACTCATGATGAATGGCCATGGGGTACCCAGAAGAGAAGTTTTAGGAACATTACATTTTTTAAAATATTTTTTATTTTGGGGGTCTTGCTGCACAGCATGTGGGATCTTAGTTTCCCAACTCATGCCCCCAGCAGTGCAAGTGTGGAGTCTGAACCACTGGAGTGCCAGGGAAGTCCCGAGGAACACTACATTTTGAACCCAGTTCTACCAGTGACAAGCTGCATAAATGTGGATAAAGCAATTGATAATTACCAAGAGCTATACAAAAAATGTATGGTGCAATTAATATTTTCCATAGAAATGAAAAAACAAATCTGAAAGGTGAAACACCTCTATTTGTGTGTGTGTGTTTTTAAAACTGGAGGATAGCTACTTTACAGTTTTGTGTTGCTTTCAGCAGTACAACAACGTGGATCAGCCATAAATGTACGTATATCCCCTCCTTCTCGAGTCTCCCTCCCACATCCCCATCTCACCCCTCAAGGCTGTTCCCAAGACATCAAAACACTGGCTGCAGAATGAAATCATGTACACTGAAATTCTGAAAGAGTAAAATGAGAAAATATTTGACTTAAAATTTCTATTATAAATAAAACATTTATTTGAAAATAACCTTATTTGAGATAATAAAATAATAAAAATAAGGTTATTTAAATACACAACTAGGAACAAAAGGAATATTTTAGAAGCCTTTAAAACAATAAAAGCTCACTTTTCAATTAGTTACTATACAGCTAACATTCAGTAGAAGAAACTATGGTATACTATAACTGAAAAAATGAAAAAAACATTTCAGTCAGGTAGCGAATTATTAAAGATACATACATAGTCACCTGGTAAAATGCTCGGATGTATTTTTAAGTGAAAACATACATTGTTTTTTAACCCCTATGCTATGTGAAAGCATATTTGTATGTAAGCATAGAAAACTTGGCAAAGATACAGATAAAACTGTGAATATTGCTTAATTCACAGAGGTGAAAGATGAGAAGAAAGACTGTCTTTAATATCACTCTGGAAGGCTTGCCTCATTAAAATAAGATGGTTTCCAATGGCCTGTAAAAATTCTAAATGGTGATGGAGTGGGAGGGAGGTTCAAGAGAGGAGGGACATATATGTACTCATGACTGATTCACATTTTTGTACAGCAGAAATCAACACAACAGTGTAAAGCAATTATCCTCCAAGAAAACAATTTTATAAAAAAGTAAAAATAAATTTAAATTTTTTTAAGTTTAAATAGAAAGAAATATAATATATGGGCACATTTTAATACCTCCACTTACATACCTAGATTTTGGGGGAAGTAGTTTCATTTAGTTTCTAAACAGCAACAGCTCAGCTTTTAATATTTTATTTATCTATTTCACTGTTACAAGTCTTAGTTGCAATATGCAGGATCTTTCAGTCGAGACTTGAGGAATCTTAGGTTACAGTAAGTGGGATCTAGTTCCCTGACCAGAGAACAAACCTGGCCCTCTGCGCTGGGAGTGCAGAGTCTTAGCCACTGGATCACCAGGGAAGTCCCCCATTCACTGTTTTCTTTCATTTTTAAACAGTCCTATAAAATGGGAATTCTTCTACCCATTTCATAAGGGAAGAAAACATGGCTTGGCAAAGTTAAGCAAATATCACAAGAGAGTGTTACACATTCATAAGTCAGAGAATCTAGATTTTAATCCAGGTCTTTCTGGAACAAAAGCTTACTTCCTGCCTCAATTTCTCTTCCAGGAGCATGCTCAGTCAAATCAATCATGTTCTACTCTTTGCCCACCCCGAGGATTGTAACCTGCCAGGTTCCTTTGTCCATGGGATTCTCCAGGCAAGCATATTGGAGTGGTTGTCACTTCCTCCTCCAGAGGATCTTCTTGACCCAGGTATCAATCTTGAATCTCCTGCAGCTCCTCCATTGGCAGGCAGATTCTTTACCACTAGCGCCACCTGGGAAGTCCTCCTGACTCAATAGGCTATTTCAAATTCTTTGTCTTTTATAAAGAAATACGATGCTACGAGCTCCTGATCACAATACTTTCTCCTAAAGTTTCTCACTGTGGACTCAGTCAGAAGGCTCTGGACTTACCTGGAAGGCATTGAGCAGGGAGAAGATGATGTGGAAAGCCAGCAAGCCGTCATTGAGGACCATGGCTATGCCGAATCCCCAGGTCAGCCCCAGCAGTGGCGTGAGGATAGCAATGTTCCTACTGATCCTCACAATGGCCCTCACCTCCTGGAACATGGAACTGCCGATGGCCGCTCGCCGGGTCTTGACAATCACCAGTGTGACTGTGACCAGGTTGACAACCACAATGGCCAGAGCCGGAACCACAAAAGCCAGAAGGGCCTTGGTCATGTCCCAGTTGAGCCAACAGGCCTCAGGCCGGAGATAACCTTTGCCAGGTTCAGTGGCAGCGACCGTGATAGCAGCGATGAGCAAAGGGCACCCGTAGCCCACCGCAAAGAGGGCTGCCACCAGGACGGACTTGGGCAACGTATGGAAGACAATCAGGATTCCGTAGAGGATGAGGAGTGCCTTGGCAAGCATCCAGAAAAACACAGAAAGGTAAAAGAAGTGAACGAAAAAGGTTGCTGCCACGCATGCGCTGTGGCGCCTCATTGGACCACTGAGAAAGGAAGCCAGGATGAACCACACATCAGCCATCAGTAAGGTGGTCGCAATGTTAGCAATGCACACGTGGCGTAAGAATGAGATCTCTGTCTTCGTCACCTGGCCCCAGACCAGGGCCTCGATGCACAAGCAGAGGACCAAGCTGCAAATAGAAACACCCAGGCCTATGTACGTGATGTAAATCAGGATCGGGCTCTGCAAGACGTGGGGTGCCATCAGAATCGAGAAAGAGGTAAATATCTTGCTTGGGCTACATTTGCAAACCACCTGCTGGGAGTTCTCCTGGATCATTTGGCAGACCTTGCGGTCCCATCTGCTCTCCAAGGAGTGCCAGCCTGCACACTCTGTCCTCCTGTCCTCCGACTTGCTGATCTTTTCAAAAATCAGAGAGATTCTTTCAAGTTCCTTGGGCAGAATGACAGACAGGACAAGCCCATTCACGGTGATGCTTTCCAAAGCACTGGTTTCTAAGATGGCCCCGAGAGTTGGAAATGCGATGCTGACAGCCTGAGAAGGAGAAGGCGCCTCCTGAAGCTCCTCTCTACTGATCAACACCTTCCCCGTGACCACATCGCTGGTGTCGTTAACTCTCATTGAAAAGGTGACATTCTTTCCGGCATTGTCTCTAGAGAGGATGGTTCCCACTGTATGGATGAAGGTCTCTGCTATGTCAATGGGATGCTTTTTGAAAAATAGCTTTCTTGCGAAAGAATTGATTGAATGTAGCAGGATGCAGCTGCTGTTTCTGTCGGGGATGAAGGTCCAGTTTGAGATGCTTTTGCTATTAAGAATGTGGTTGGCCATGATGCTGTAACTCTGTCAATGAAGAACCAGGATTAGTACTGAGCCACTCTCCGAATCTGCCAGGACAATCAAGATTAAAATGCATGGTCCTGGGACTTCCCTGGTGGCTCAGTGGTAAAGAATCTGCCTGCCAGTGGGGAAGACACAGATTAGATCCCTGAACCGAGAAGATCCCACATGCCATGGAACATCTAAGCCCACGCGCTACAACTGTTGAGCCTGTGCTCTAGAGCCCAGGAGCCACAACTACTGAAGCCCACACACTCCAGAGCCTGGGCTTCGCAATAGGAGAAGTCACCGCAATAAGAAGCTCTCGCACCGTAACTAGAAAGTAGCCCCTGCTCGCCGCAACGAGAGCAAAGCCTGAGCAGCAACAAAGACCCAGCAGAGCCAAGTCTACATAAATAGATGAATAAATAATTAAAATTATACGTAAAAATGTGATCTTCCAGCTGGCAGCAAAGGCATCCCCTGGAACTGCCTAGAGATCCAGAATCTCAGGCCCCACCCCAGACCCAGTGAATCAGAATCAGCATCCTTTTTTACAACTGGAGTATTGTTGATTTACAGTGTTGTATTAATTACTGTTGTCCAGCAACAGACTCAGTTACACACACATATATATATAAAGACACATTCTTTGGCATTTCTTTTCCATTATGGTTTATCACAGGATATTGAATACGGTTCCCTGTGCTATACAGTAGGACCTTGTAGTTTATCCATTCTCTATATACTAGTTTGCATCTGCTAATTCCAACCTCCCAATCCAGCCCTCTATCACCCCCTCCCCCTTGGCAAACCACCAATCTATTCTCTATGGCTATGTAGAGCCAGTATCTTAAGGAGACTCCCAGGTGAGGTTAGCGCTGCAAGGGAATTGCCTTCCTCCCCATTTTGTGTAATGCCTTCCTTCCCCATGCCTGTTGCCATCATCAATTCCTTTTCATACCTTAGTGAAACTAGCATTCGCTTACCCTGGTCAGAGCACCCATTACGTAATTAGCATCTAATGAATCCCAGTTGTGAGCAGCACCCTGTATAGGAACATTTGTTGTTGCTTAGTTGCTAAGGCACGTCCGACTCTCTTGTGACCCCATGGACAGTAGCCTGCCAGACTCCTCTGTCCAGGGGATTTCCCAGGCAAGAATGCTGGAGTGGGTTGCCATTTCCTTCTCCAGGGAATCTTCCTGACCCAAGGATCGAACCAGTGACTCCAGCATTGACAAGTGGGTTCTTTACCAATGAACCATCAGGGGAGCCCATGTATAGGAACATACCAATCTGGATCCTAGAGGCTAAACTTACTTTTTAATGTCCTTTGCTTTGAAGATCAAAGCAAAAAAAAAAACAAACCAGGATCCAGTTCCACTTTATATTCCTGAGGCAGATATGTATGACTGCTTTCTTTGCACTCAGTTATTCTCCTTTTTTGCAACCTGTTCTGACTCCAAACGAAAGTAAGAAAAGACTCTTTCTCTCTGCTACTGTGGTTCTTAGTTTTCCGTAGCCAAATAGACACTGGAAAGATATACGCTGGGGTTTGATCCACACCCCATAAATGGTCTCTCTAAATGTTTCTTGTTTGAATGTTTCCACCTTTTCGTTCTTCTGTTCATTAGCTCTTCATTCACTCTTCAATGATGATTTATTGAACACTTGCTGTGCTAAGCCCTGGAGATACTGAGATGAAAAACACGGTTCTCAGACCCCCAAAAGCTCATAGAGTATCCAGCTCACCTGCCTTCCTTTTCATCAAGATGATACTCTACCACATCCTCACCACCACTCACCTGCATCTTTGCCTCATCAACATCCGTCATTGGCACAGTGGAGATGTTGTGTAAGAGCTGCACAATCACAGCGATGTTTCCTGGAATCCGGGGAGACTTCTGAATGTTCCTGATCACACAGGACAGATCCTGTGGACACTTTTCCATTAACAAATCTGTAATGGTCTCAGGCTTCTTGGTATATTCACTGAATTTTGATCCTCCAAATATTTGAACATAATTTGAATCTTCCTAAGAAATGCCAAAAAACAACAAAAAGTTTCTTAATGTTCATTTTGTTTTAAACAGAAAAGGAGTTTTACTAAAATTTACAACAGTCTGATTACATGATTGTATATTGCATAATGTTTTTGTATTTTACATTCCCAAGCTCATACTCGCTGTGAATAGCCTGCCCAATACCATGGTGTTTCAACAGAAAAGGAAAGCCCTGCCTTGCCAGCCACCTGCTTCCTGCCCAAAATAGCAACTGTGGTCTTTAGTACACCCCTCCTGACTCTTCTATGTATGTATGCTGCACACTCATTCTGTAGATAGATTACTAGTGCCCTCTAACCTTATTTCTACTATTCTTGAGGGGCAAAGCATGAGATATGAGTATATTTTTAAAATGGAAATTCTGAACTGAATTTGGATGAATCTGTTGGAACATCCATACAGAAGGACTGAAAGTATTGATAGATCTCCCATGGATTCAGGCTTGAGTCTCACCCTCAAGAGCAATCAGGTCAAACTATGGCCCTAGGATAACCACCTGATTTGGGGCAGGAGGCGGGGCAGGGCATGCTGCATGGCTTGTGGGATCTTAGTTACATAACAAGGAATCGAACCCAGGCTCTCAGCAGTAAGAGTGTAGAGTCTTAACCCCTGGATCACCAGGTTGCGGCCATAGTCACCAGGTTATTATCACCAAAAATGGCCTGATTTTTGGTAAATATAGTTTTATTGGAACTGATAGATTTATTGGACAGGTACAAACACACTTACCAACCGCACAGCCTCATGTCCACTTTCCCCTTACTGAGTGCTACATGCATTGCTAATTTCTTATTTTTAATTGAAGTATAATTGCTTTGTAATGTTGTATTAGTTTCTTCTGCACAACAAAATGAATCAGCTATATGTATACCTATATCCTTACCCTCTTGAGTCTCCTTCCCACCCACCCCCTCCCCACCCATCTAGGTTATTACAGAGCAGTAAGCTGAGCTCACTGTGCTATATAACAGCTTCCCACTGGCTGTCTATTTTTTTCATGGTAGTGTATATATGTCAATACTACTCTCCAGTTCATTCCGCCCTCCCCTCCCCTGCCACAGCCACATGTCCATTCTCTATGTCTGTGTTTCTTATTCCTGCCCTACTAATATGTTCATCTGTACCATTTTTCTAGATTCCTTATATATGCATTCATGTACAACATTTGCTTTTCTCTCTAGGGCTTACTTCACTCTGTATGACAGATTCTAGGTCCAACCACATGACTACAAATGATCCAATTTCATTCATTTTTATGGCTGATACATATATATATTTTATGGCTGAATATATATATACACACACAATACACACAATATACACAATATTGTATATATATACACCACAACTTCTTTATCCATCTCGCTGTTGACGGTCATTTAGGTTGCTTCCACGCCCTGACTATTGTCAACAGTGCTGCTAGTCTGGGGCTCCACTTTGCAGGTGGGAGAAAGGATACTACCTCGAAGATGTTGAAGGCAATAGTCACCAGGTTATTATCACCAAAAATGGCCTGATTTTTGGTAAATATAGTTTTATTGGAACTGATAGATTTATTGGACAGGTACAAACACACTTACCAACCGCACAGCCTCATGTCCACTTTCCCCTTACTGAGTGCTACATGCATTGCTAATTTCTTATTTTTAATTGAAGTATAATTGCTTTGTAATGTTGTATTAGTTTCTTCTGCACAACAAAATGAATCAGCTATATGTATACCTATATCCTTACCCTCTTGAGTCTCCTTCCCACCCACCCCCTCCCCACCCATCTAGGTTATTACAGAGCAGTAAGCTGAGCTCACTGTGCTATATAACAGCTTCCCACTGGCTGTCTATTTTTTTCATGGTAGTGTATATATGTCAATACTACTCTCCAGTTCATTCCGCCCTCCCCTCCCCTGCCACAGCCACATGTCCATTCTCTATGTCTGTGTTTCTTATTCCTGCCCTACTAATAGGTTCACCTGTACCATTTTTCTAGATTCCTTATATATGCATTAATGTACAACATTTGCTTTTCTCTCTAGGGCTTACTTCACTCTGTATGACAGATTCTAGGTCCAACCACATGACTACAAATGATCCAATTTCATTCATTTTTATGGCTGATACATATATATATTTTATGGCTGAATATATATATATATATACACAATACACACAATATACACAATATTGTATATATATACACCACAACTTCTTTATCCATCTCGCTGTTGACAGTCATTTAGGTTGCTTCCACGCCCTGACTATTGTCAACAGTGCTGCTAGTCTGGGGCTCCACTTTGCAGGTGGGAGAAAGGATACTACCTCGAAGATGTTGAAGGCGGTGAGAGTCCGGCAGGTGTCAGTAACTTTGTGCCATTTCTTTTGCCTGCATAAAAACCCCACATCCCCTGGAGTGTCTGGAGGGCAAGGTTGGCTGCAGTAGGAATTGTCCACACAAGCGCCATGACAGTCACCTGAGAAAAGAAAAGGTGTCAGCATCGGATGGAGAGGTCTGGGCTCTGGACCACATGGGCCGGTTACCACAGCATCTGCACAGCGAAGGCACATCAGTCCTATGGACATCAGGTGTCTTTTCTTTGTAAAGTGCAGGACGATTGAAATAGATCAGGGATCATCATCTATTTCAGGGACAACCTCCTATTATTTCTAACAAACTAGTATCCTGAACCCTAAGGTTTAAAATAGATAAAAATGGTACCATACCAACACAAGTGAGTAAAAGAGAAGAGCCCACAGTTCAGTCCACTAGCTCCCTCTCTCACCCCACAGGAACCCCTTAAACATGCCTCACACCTGCAGCTAGCTCCCCAAGAATACAGTTTGGAAGCCAGCATGCCTGATATTCTCTAAGAAATTTCTCAACTCCAATTCCTTAAAAAACTAGGAAGAAAACCACATATGAGCCAGCAATCTCACTCCTAGGCACATACCCTGAGGAAACCGAAACTGAAAAACGCACATGTTCCCCAATGTTCATTGCAGCACTATTTACAATAGCTAGAACATGGAAGCAACCTAGATATCCATCGACAGATGAGTGGATTAAGAAGCTGTGGTACATATATACAATGGAATATTACTCAGCCATAAAAAGGAACGCATTTGAGGCAGTTCTAATAAGGTGGGAGAACCTAGAGCCTATTATACAGAGCGGAGTAAGTCAGAAAGAGAAATGTAAATATCATATACTGACACATATATATGGAATCTAAAAAGATGGTGCTGATGAATATATTTTCAGGGCAGCAATGGAGAAACAGACATAGAGAACCAACCTATGGACGTGGGGGGAGGGGAGGAGGGAGAGGATGAGATGCATGGGGAGCGTAAAATGGAAGCTTACAATACCATATGTGAAATAGATAGCCAGTGGGAATTTGCTCTATGACTCAGGGAACTCAAATCAGGGCTCTGTGACCATCTAGAGGGGTGGGATGGGGAGGGAGATGGGAGGGAGGTTTGGGAGGGAGGGGACATGAGTGTACCTATGGCTGATTCTTGTTGATGTGTGATGGAAAACCACAAAATTCTGTAAAGCAATTATCCTTCATTTAAAAGAGCATTTAAAAAAAAAGAAATTTCTCAGTTCCAGAACTTTACAAGGAGCTATGTCCTCGACGGGGTCTCATAGATGCCCCCATAGCCTCTGCTCTATTTTGAGTTGGTTCAATCTAAAAGATTTATGGCAAAGAACTCTCAGACCAGGATGGAGCAAGAAGGGAGCAGGGGTCAAAGGTACAATTTAAGATGAGAAGAGTAAAAGAAAAGTCCAGATACATGCCATCGAGGTGTGCCATCTACCACACCATGAGACAGAGGGCTGAGAAGAGCTCTGTGTTACAACAGATGGATAGGACACGCCCAACTCTTAGTAACTGCTGCCAACATACCGTGTGCCCTGGTAGATACCTGCTCCTTGCTCTTGCTGGCAGCCTAGAAAGGGAAAATTAAAATCCAGGTCAAACGCAATCACTAAAATGTGCACCCAGTGATTCACTTTCATCACATCTGAATCAGCGCTGATGCCAGCATGCCACTAAATCTAAGACCATGAATTTGTCACCATGGTCCCATTTCCCCTCAGCCTGAACAGATTTCTTTCCATGGCTATTCAGCAGGAGAACTCCTTCCACTCCAGGAAGAATGATCTGCTTTCTATCCAAGAAATACACCCTGGGTAGATGTGGACTTATTGGAAATTAATGAAGGTTAAGCTGCAGAACCCCTAGCTTGCATGGGCCCCTTCCATGCACTGAAAGAGCATCTAGCAATGTGTTCACATGATCATTGTTGTTGTTGTTTAGCTGCTAATTCATGTCCAACTCTTTGTGACTCCATGGACTGTAGCCCCCCAGGCTCCTCTGTCCATGGGATTTCCCAGGCAAGCATATTGGAGTGGGTTGCCATTTCCTTCTCCAGGGGATCTTCCTAACCCAGGGATCAATCCTACATCTCCTGCATTGACAGGCAGATTATTTACCATTGGGGCACCAGGGAAGCTCCATCATTATCATATGTTTTATTAAATTTTCAGAAGCAAAATAGTTTAGCCATCATCTGTTCAGTCCTTTTTTTTTTTCTTTTTCCAGTTTCCCCTCCTTTACATTCTCCCTTATTTTGGATAGCACTCAAAGGATGTGGCTGTTTTTGGTAGAAGTTGAGTTGGTTATGTGTTTAGTTTGGATTAAATAGGATATATTTATGTAGCTTGCAGTCATATCTGCATTACAAGGAGGACATCAACATAGAAGTGGCATTCATTCTCAGGGTATTTACAATTAGTCATAGAACAAGAAAATCCTAAGTGCTCAAGATACTTTGCAACTAACATATTAAAAAAAATTTGGTTTCCACAAATTTGACAACAGTCTTTCTTACATGTTTACAAGACATTATTAACAATGAATTGAGAAGCTGAAAGCTACTTTTTTTTAATTAGCAATAAGAATGAAAAAAATTTGATCATCAGTTTTAGAGGTAAAACTGAATCATCTTTCTATTTTTGTTATAGAAAAAAACTACAAAATTATTGACATGTAAGTATGCAGCCAAAAAATGTAGGGAGGAAATGTTGGCAGTTTATTTATAAAAATATTGTTATTAATTTATTACTGGAGGGACTGCCCTGAGGGTCCAGTGGTGAAGACTCCATGCTTCCAATATAGGGGACACATTTTTGACCTCTGGTCAGGGAACCGAGATCCTCACATGCCACTTGGTGCCAACCAAATAAATAAATAAATAGATGCATGGAAGTGCTAGCACTTCAAGATGCCCTCAGCCCAACTTGAGAGGATCATGGTCTCCAATGCACCATAATAAAGCACTTCAAAATGAACAATTCTGGATAATACTTGGCCCATTAAACAGACTCCAGGGAGGTCACATCCTGCTAGTCAGGTAGGAGGGCAGAGGGTGATGGTGTGCTATTTCCAAGGAATTCTGGAAACTGTCTTAAGTGAAGGAACTGATTCACTTCCAGTTAATTTGCCAAAGTCCATGTATACACAACTCCATGTGACCTCTTCATTTCTAGGGTGGGATCCGATGGGGCCACTTAAGCTTCAGCTAGCAACAATGCGCGGACAGAGCAGCTTGGTAGGCTACAGTCCATGGGGTCGCCAAGAGTCAGACACAATTGAGCCACAACACACACACACACGTAGCAACAGTCCTCGGACTGATACTGTGAACAAGACACTGGCAAACCCATCACCCGCTAAACCCGCAGAATTGCCTGAGAGAGGTTGGAAGGCAGATAGCACCCCAAAGAAAGCTCAGCCCCCAGCAACTTGTAAATTGAAAAGAAAATGATGGAACATTTCTGGTAAGGTGAGTCCCCAATAATCAAGAAAACAAAGCCAGCCTCCCATGCTCAGCCTCCAAGTTCTGTCTTGTGGAAGAGTGTGGACGAGGAAATGAAGAGGAAATAGTACAGAGCTGTGGGGTTGGGTGCCTCCCAGAAAAGACCTTTCTGAGGGGGTCTCTAATCTTTCCTATAAACTGGGCTGTAACTCAGTATTAGGGGGAGGGGAGTCATGGAGAAAATTCCCATCCAGGGGCACATTACTCACATGGTGAATATTATTTGGAAACTTCTAGAAAGAATTCTTTATTTAGCTTTTTATTTTATATTGGGTTATAACTGATTAACAATGTTGCAATCATTTCTGGTGAACAGCAAAGTGGCTCAGTCATACATACACACGTGTTCATTCTGCCCCAAACCCCCTCCCATGCAGGCTGCCACATGGCCAAGGTGCTCATTGGTCCTTCCTGCCCATTGGTGGTGTTCACCTCAGGCTTCTCAAAGGAGATGCCGTTTTGGGTGGGACAGTGTTTCACAGTGTTGGAACCTTTCCTAAAGTCCTGCTCACTCAATGCCATTAACCATCTCCCAGTCAAGGTTGGAGACTTTCCAATAGTTCAGATGGTAAAGAATCTGCTGCAATGCAGGAGACTCAGGTTCAATCCCTGGGTCAGGAAGAGCCCCTGGAGAAGGAAATTACAACCCACTCCAGTATTCTTGCCTGGAGAATTCCATGGACAGAGGAGCCTAGCAAGATACCATGGGGTCTCAAAGAGTCAGACACGACTTAACTAACACACACACACACAGTCAAGGTAACACTCCTCCCAGCCTCCACATTCTCCAGTGCCTTTAAGGAAGAGGCACCACCTTGTTTATCAGCACTGGAAGCTTCACCATCAAAGGTTATGGGAAGAAGAGTGGATTACCCTTACGTCATTCGGACCCCTTTGCATCTCAGGAAGTTATGGAAAAAGCAGATGGGAAAATAATTGGCAGCTATTAGCTAAAATGGGTTTCAGTGACCTGCAGTTGCAGTTTCATCTGGTTGGACCATTCAGTCTTCAGGCTTCCCTCACGACTCAGTTGTAAAGAATCCGCCTGCAATGTGGGAGACCCCAGTTTGATTCCTGGGTCAGGAAGATCCCCTGGAGAAGGGGTAGGCTACCCACTCCAGTATTCTTGGGCTTCCTTTGTGGCTCAGCTGGTAAAGAATCCGCCCACAATGCGGCAGACATGGGTTCGATCCCTGGGCTCACAAAGAGTCAGACACAACTGAGCGATTTTCACTTTCACTTTCACCCCATCTTCTACCTACCCTTCAGCTCAGATGGGCTGGCTAACTCATGGGTTCTAGTTTCCATTCGGTCTCCACACCAGCTCATCCTCCCACCTCCCTCTTCTTACCTGGCATAACGTCCTGCAGGACTCTGTGGCCAAAAGAAACACGAAGCCGTACAGCAAGAGCAGAAGCATCTGAGTCATCATCTTCAGCACAGTTGCCTTTCTGGCTACTAGAAGAACAAACGAAAAGGCAAAATGTCTCCCATCGGAAGCTTTCAATGTTCCACGCGGAACCAGTCAGCCTGAGACTGGGTTCTGTCCTTAGCACTGTCTGCTTGGGCTCCTCTGCTCCAGAGGTGGGGTCCCCGTGGTCTCCCTAGACCTTACCAGGATGCCACAGGTATGCGCACGAGCTGGCCCTGCGAGGTGCAGGCAATCACTGTGATAATCTTCAGGTTCTGCTGTTGTCTTGCATGTAGCACCTAGCATGGGAATCCCTCCAAAGGCATCTGCCTACTGGGGTGTGACATATCCAGCCCATATTTGGGGAGCAGGAAGGATGGTGCACTCTCTGGGTTAGGCAGGGCTGAGAAACCTGTGGGTGGCTAGGTTGGAAGGTGAGCTGGTGTTCCCACATGTAAACTCAGGTTAGAAATCGCTTTTGAAGGAGAGTAGGCACCAGGCTTGACCTATGGTCCCTCCTTTCCACCTAACTCTAGAGCTATATTTTCATAGGTAGGTAGCAGCTTCTTCAAAACTGATTTTAGACATGCCCTGGTATTTGTTATTTCTGCCAAAACTGATGTCAAAACTAAAATGATTTCTTAGCATCTAGAACCATGTGTCCAACAGACACATGATAAGGACATAGAAAACTCCATAAGAAAGAGGAAAGGAAGCGGGGAGAGAAGGGAGACCGGAAGAGCTGAGGATTTGCATCAAAGTCCATGCTCTATAGATATAAATTTTAATAACTTCAATATTTTTTATCCCTGAGTAAGATATTCTTTGAGTGGTGTTGGCTGTTTCTTTGCTTTTAGATGGAAGGAGAAGATTTGGATGTCATCAACAAAGGCCAGGAGCTTTTGCAATGGTTGATACTGACTATTTGACCATTATTTGGTGAAAAAGAAATAGTCTTTATCCCAACCATGCATAATTCTATAGAAAACAATGCCATTATTTTAAAGACTAGGCAAATTGCATTTTAAAATCATTTTTGCTGCATGGAAATAATTGCCTAGCTGAAATTCCACAGAAATCTAATGATTATTTAAAATATTTTGCACTGCCTGTTTCAGACCATCGTTAACAGTTTTCTGAAAGTCCTATAGTGTTTTATTCTCCTTTAATTAAAAAGAATTTTATTAATTGAATTGTAGTTGGTTTACAATATTGTGTTAGTTTGAGATGTACAGCAAAATGAGTCAGTTAAACACACACAAATATATATATATATATCTATTCTTTTTTCAAGTTCTTTTCCTATTTAAGTTGTTACATAGTAGTTCCTTGTGCTATCCACTGGGTCCCTGTTGGTTATCCATTTTAAATTCAGCAGTGTGTACGTGTCAATCCAAACTCCTTAAATATCCCTTCCCCCCACCACCCCTGCTTCCTCCTCTATTTGTTGTCTAAGTCTGTGAGTCTATTGTTTTGTAAACAAGTTCATTTGTAGCAGTTATTTTTAGATTCCACATATTAGGATATCATACTATATCTGTCTTTCCCTGTCTGAGTTAAAAGTGATATATTTTAATCTGGACTTAAGGAAAATCCTTTTTCTTTCAGATTTGTTGACATTTAGCCAAAGTCACGAGCTCTTCCTCTAGTTCCGTGCAAGCAGAAAACTTAGAAGTAAAAATATAGTGGCAAAACAGTAACAGGAATCCAATCTTTGACTACCCTCTCCCCCACCCAGCTTCCTTCCTTCCCCATTTTCATGCAAAAAGTCAAGGTTTCTGATGATCCAGACCTGCTTTCCCAGGTTTGCTCCACACCTTTCTGAAAGGCAGGGGTAGCTGGAGTGGGATGCTTCCCTCTCAAACAGATGTTTAAAAATGTCGGTTCCAGGGACTTCCCTGGCAGTCCAGTGGCTAAGACTCCACACTCGCAATGCTCCGGTCCCAGTTTTCATCTCTGGTCGGGGAATTAGATCCCACCTAATGCAACTGAAGGTCCTGAGTGCTACAACTAAGGCCTGGCTCAGCCAAATTAATCAATTAATTTAAACAAGTGTTTATTCCATGCAGCTCAAGCCAAAGAAAATTTGCTAAAGACAGTTATTTCAGAAAAGGTTTATCTCTCCAGAATGTACAATATGAGAAAAGTCACTTCATGAGATTCTCACCAAAAAAAATGTCATGAAGCAATCACCTCAGCTCTGAAATTTCACACAGTGAAACATGCCAAATACAAAGTGCTGGAATGCTTTTTATTAAGAAGCTGCTCCCCTTTCCTTTATCAAAAAAAAAAAAAAAAATCAGCAAAACCAAAAAACTCAGCAACATGAATGATTACAATAGCTAGATCTGTACAGATGACATTTCAATGTATTCTCATTCTCTGTTGACCACTTTCTAAATATGAAAAAAGTGTTTATGATGTTCATTTATGTATTTTCTCAACAAACATAAAATGAGCTTCCCGTCTCCAAGCAATGCCCTAACAGAAATTAAACAATGGTGTCCTAAATAGAAATTAAACAATGACAGCAAGGATGACTACTTTCCGTGTCCCCCCAACATCTCGGGAAGTCACAGTCTAATGGCACTCTTGAAGCACCACCCATTGGGTGGCAACTTGGCTGGGGTTTGCTCCCTGGAGATCTCTGGACCCTTGAAGACAAAGCAAGACAAGTAGACATGACAGGAAGTGTCCCCAAGTTCCAGATTCCACAAGGCAATTCCCAAATTTGTTAGCAATTCAGTTCTGAAATATTTCTTCCTATCTTTATGTCAAATTCCTCCATCCCCAAAGCCACAGGTTGAGTGGTAAAGACAAAACAGGCAGAAAGAAAGCATATGGGCTGCACACTGCTTGTGTTTTTCATGTGGCTCCATCAGAAACAAACATTTGTTTAATTTAAACACACTCACACGCACAAGTCATAGAGACCAGAGCGGTTCTATAGAGTGATTTGAGGGGGGAAAATTCTACAACTTTAACCCTTAAATCTTGACTAGCGAAAAAGAAAGTATTGGCATAGCAATCATGGCAAACACAAACAAGAGTCAAGAAAACTCCAGACATATTTTGATCAGACACCCAAGAGAATTTCAATCAGCAGCCTGGTCAGCTGAGTCTGCGGCTCTTACTTGCATAATTAGGTTTCGAGGTGAATTGCTGAGGCTTCTAGTGAGAGATCCACAAAACACTAAGTAAGTTCCCAGACAGACTGTGGGAATAGACTTCAGATGATCTCAGGGGTGGAAGATTCCATAGCGTCTATCCTGTAGACATCATACTCTTTCACCCCTAGTCAATGACCAATCCCTCCTCCTGCCTAAATGCAGACACTATGAAAGGCAAGAGATTGGTAAAACAAATAGACACTGCCTATTACTATGTGTCCGACACTATATTTACATTCGCTCTTTGCGTAGTTCTAAGTAACTGGGTGATTGCCACAATTTTTCTTTTAATTAAAGGGATAAAAGTTGACCCTGGCTAACCTCAAAGTTACTAAGTGGCATAGCTAAGATTTAAACCCAGATCTGCAACTTTTTTCAGTATATCACATGTCTTTTCTGATATAAGAAAGAGCTGATCTTTGTATGGAGTTCATTCCTTCAGAACATTTCACATATTGACTTTTACCTTGACCTCATAAAATTTTACGCAGTAAACAAAAAAGTTACCATTTTCCCTTTTTTATCAAAGAGGAAATTGTCCAGATAGCAGGAGGCTTTTCCAAGATCATACCCCAAGTTACTGGAACCAGATTCTTTTGACTCTTGATCAAGGGCTTTTTAAACTACATCGATCTGTCCCTGTCCTCCTTCCTGTCCTCATTGGAGATGTAAAAGAACTGATCACTATCTCTCAGTAAAAAAAAATTATATACATGAATATAGTTAGGGAGACAGATGGAAACAGTGATGTCAGAGATAGATGATAGATAGAGAGATCTAGGTTTAAATAGTCTTTTAGAAATATACAACCTAAGTAGAATTGCCTTCAGAACTCCTTCAGTCTTCATCCTGAGTCATGTCCATGCTGTGCCCAGATGCTCAGGGTCTCATTATGACTCCAGTCTAAAATCTCTGTCCTTGAACGAAGCTCCTTCCTTACTCTGAAGCAAATTTTGCCACATCAATGACCTCCTTTCTTGGGTCTTAGCCATTTGGAATTCTTCTGACTGCCAAGAAATAACTAATCAGATAGGTTGACTACCAATAACGTGAAAGTGAATATTAATGGTTTGTGATTTGATCATCCCAGGTTAAGTGTACATTCTAACAGGAATTCCCCAGAGGCAACCTCTCCAAATCTGGCCACCTAACACGAAGAACTGACTCATTGGAAAAGACCCTGATGCTGGGAAAGATTGAAGGCAGGAGGAAAAGGGGACGACAGAGGATGAGACGGTTGGATGGCATCACTGACTCGATGGACATGAGTTTGAGCAAGCTCCTGGAATTGGTGATGGACAGGGAAGCCTGGNACAAGAGACCAGGGTCCCATCCTTGGGTTGGGAGGATCCCCTGGAGTAAGAAGTGGCAACCCACTCCAGTATTCTTGCCTGGAAAATTCCATGGACAGAGGAGCCCAGCAGGCCACAGTCCCTGGGGTCACAAAGTCAGACACAACTGAGTGACTGCACACATAACTGTCAAATAATAATACAGTGCATAGTAAATTCTGATAAATCTATATAAAGGAATATTACACAAATGTTAAAACCATTTATTAAGAGCTTTGATAATATATTAGTATGAGGTAGCAGTGTTTTATATATATATATACACATACATAATTTTATAATAGCAATGGGAACATCAATTAATAGGGTGCAACAATCTCATGGGTTATCTTTGTGAACTTTAGCTCCATCTTATTTGACATTTGGTATTCTTTCATTTATATTATATATATGAAAATAGCTGTTCACAACTCATACATATGGAAATCATGAATATTTTCTAATATAAATAGAGGAAAATGTCTCCAAATAGATCTTCGGAAATTAAAAAATATAT